TGTTTATTGAAGTTAAACCTGAAATAAAATGTACATCACTTGACACATACCTTAATTTTAAGACTCATAATCTTGGTGAATCCTGTGTTAGTCACCCTTTGGTCAGTGCCTTTTTACATGCAGCCAGCAGCACACCAAGTAAGTATTTATCTATATCCAACTTATTTTCTTTTATTACCATTTTCCAAACCTCTAGTGTGGCTTTTACCCATGGGTTTCCTGTTTTAACAATCAAGTCCTGTAGAGTTTTATCTGCCAGAACTGCCTGTATATGCATATCGGTTATTGTTTTGCATTCAGTTTCCTTCCATGCTGCTACATATGATGGATCACACCAGTGCAGCATTGCTGAAATATAGTACTTTTTGTAAACATGGTAGGCCCCTGTAGGGCTGTTCGATATAACGATATATATCAGATGACGATATAAAAACATCTATTGTTTCATTTTACGCTATCGTTTGTTTCGTGGTTTCGCAAAATAAACTGTTTACGGCAATATTTTTTCATCGTTTTGATGGTCACTGTAGTGGCTATATTAATTTCTTAAAGTTCTCTCTTTCTCGTATATTTAATATAACCACAATACGGATGGACAAGCGCCTGTTTTTATGCATTGCGGTTAGCAACAAAGACGGTAACAGCATCGCGTGTCCGCTTGTTTATGTTCCACATAAACCTTTCACAATAAAGCTCAAGATCCTGTTGAGACTTTTCAAAATAAACTGAATCACATGAAAGAGCAGATTATTTACGGATGAGAAGTAAAAAAAAGAGCCGTCGGGTGCTAAAAAAAATAAACCTTAGACTCAAACGTTAGAACAGGCTTTTCCCGCAGCACGCCGTGTAATAAATACTCACAAAGAAAACGGCGGCCGTTACAACTTATGTCTAAAAATGTATAGTTTCATGCATCGGTTAAAACACTCGACTCCAGCTACATGACGCGCAGCTGGAAACACTTCCCGCAAGTCGAGCTGCCCGAGATTCACAGAATTTACAGAAAATGTTATATTTTTGTGATTTATATCATTATCGGGACGATAGAATTCTTATATCGGGATATGAGATTTTGTTCATATTGCACAGCCCCTGCCACCATGCTAGGAAATAGAAGTATAAGATGTCCACTCTTTCCTTTTCCTAAAATAGGAATCTATGGCACATAGTGGACTTTGTTTTTAATAAAGTGATTAATGCTCAGAATAATACAAACACTGCAATTCTACATGTATTTGGAAACCATATTAAAGACAATAAATACAAAATAAACTACTTTTAGACTCAAACTTTTCATTTCTATCTGATCATAACAAAACAAGCAGTGCCAGACTAAAACTAAAACTTGCTATATTTCAGACAGAAAGGGTGTAAGCCATAGAAATGTCTTATGTAACCCTAGCCCTCATATGTAATACAAAGTGACAACTTTTAATGGTAAACGTAATGCTCTGCAGCATTCACAGTTCACAATAATCCCTATTTATCTTATACTGGGCCTCATTCCCCTCGTTTAAGCTAACTTTCTCCTGATTGGTTGCTTCTTAAAAACAACACTTTGAAGAGCAGGCGGGAGGGGCTTATGAGCTCAAAACCAATTATGTTGATTTGAGATGACTATATGAGGAATATCTGCTGTCACTTACATCATAGTGAGCCAAAAGTGGGGAAAAGAATCTGCGGCAGTTTGAAACGTTTAGCTGACAAGAATTACATGTAAATTAATTGAAATTATTTATTCAAAACATAGTCATATTTAATATATATAAGTTTAACCACTGATGCAGAAAATATGAAGCATCACAGGTCCACTCTAATAGTAATATTAATACTGACATGAGAATAAGAAAACCTACAGTGTTTCTTTTATATCGACAAACTCCTCAAGCTCCAGGTTGACAGGGCCCTGGTGACAACACTTTATCTCTCTTTTATTGAATTTGAACTCACTTTCCAAGCTGTCATTTGCAATCAGTCTCTCGAGATCAAACAGAAAACATACTGAATAAGGTGATTAATATCTGCAGCAAAATAACTGGAACAGCACTGAAAACCCTGCAGTTACATAAGAAAGCAAAACCCATCATGTCTGATTGTTCCCACCCTTTACATCATCTCACACTAGTACATTCCCTAATGTCCGCAGCCATCTCTTCACTAGACCCTTAAGATGAAAAGGGTCATTTACTCCCATAAATAATCTAATGAGTTATTTTCCTATTTTTTCATCTTTTAAATAGTTGGTTTCTTCAGCTCTTCTTCAGTTTTTTCCTGTGCATTTCTTTTTTGTTGTTGTTTTTGTTTTATCTGTAAGCTTCAAACTGCTGTAAATGAATGACCTGATCGAAGGCTGGAAGATTTAAAAAACTACAAAAAACCCAACTAGTGTCTAATCTTTTCAAATGTTTTTATGCTTTTATAACAACAGCAAAAATATGCACTGTCTATAGCTGGGCAGGTAGTATAAAGTAGAGTTTTGTAGCTTTTTTACTTAAAGCATCATCAGAGCAGTGAACCATTAAAGCCATGGTTTTCATCTTACAGTCACTAATAAGCGGTATGAAACTGATGAGGGACATTTTTAAAAAATATTTCTCAGAATAAGCAACATTCAAAACCCCCAAATTGCCTATAGAGGATGGGGTTTACAGCCACTATAAACTCCTGGACATGTTATTTACAACCAGTTTCAAATTGTGATCGCTCCCAGGAAATAGTCCATGCAAAAAGGGCATGATAATTCTTTCATTTTGTGTCCATAATATTTTATTATATACACTTATTATGCCTTTTCAGCTCCCTTTCCCCCTCATTCTTGGTTCTATCTTTGTCTGAAATGTGACATTTTATCTGCTCTCACTTAAAGTCACCTGTCAGCTGACTGGCTGCCCCTCACAACTAAAAGGTTTGCACTGCATGTTTGTAAGATGACCATATTAGGGATATCCAGTCTCACTGACATCACAAAGATCCAAGAGTAAAAGTATCCACCACTGAAACAGCATATATGTCAAATAGTCGAATCTGTTAACATTATCATTAAGTCAGCTATCGATTATGTCCACCAATAAATGTACAGAATCTGTACACTTGCAATTCCTGAACACAAATGTGTTTTCATGATGTTTTAACATTGATGTGTTACTTTGTTCAATTTGCACTATGCTGTACTCACTCTCCATGAGGGTCATCGTGACCCTTGCAGGGATCACAGACAAGCAAGAAAAAGGCGATTAAAGAAGTCAGAATGTGGACACACCACACCACAAATGAAGTAAATCTCTTCTATGAAGTCAAACCCATCACCACACCATGCAGTTCTTAAAGAGACAGTAAAAAAAAAGGTCATGATGCGATGAACCTAACATGTTTTTTTAAAAGGCCGTCTCTTTAAGATGTCTATAAAACCACTTTACCTGGGCCTTTGGATTCGGTTACCTCTAGGACCATGTCATGCTTAGTTTCCATGGTGTCCGTTGCTATGATCACTGCCCACCTTGGCTGTGATGAGAGAAAAAAGGAAGTGAACATGGGGATGCTGCTATTAAGATTTTAATTCAGGGAAAAGGAGGAAGAGGAAAGGGCCTGTGCGCTTTCCATTTTACTCTCATCAGAAAGTTCGGCTTTGTTAGCTCTTGCAGAATGGCTCTTGTGATTGGCTTTCCTGGGGTATGATAAAAACAAGATGAGCTCTCTGAAGTCTCTCTGCTGTGGCTGCAAAAATAGTGATTAAAACCCCCAACAACTCAGGTTTATCCAAAGTAACAGTTCTCAGCTAAGATGCAGGTATTATAAGTTGCCTCATAATTAGAGATCCACACAAACCACCTCTTATTTGCAACTCCTAAACTGGCAGGAACCAACACACCACAGATGGCTTCCTGAACCCTGAAACCCCAGCGTCCTCTGGTCAACACCTGTCTGCAGCACGCTGGCCGAGCCAGAGGTTTTCTGATGTACAGCAGAATGTGTGTTGTGTTGTAAAAAACCACAAGTGGTCAGGATAAAACCAGAGAATATCAGAGACAGTACTGAGAGAGCTGGAGAGAAGCCCGCTGCCTCCAGTGGGATCAGCATGTCGTGGGCTTCCTTCCTGAGTGTGACAGAGCTGCACAGACTCTCTCAGAAATGTCTCGCTCCAGAAAAAGGCCCTTTGTCCTGTCTGACTCCAGCCAGCACAGGACAAGGAGCAAACAAGCATGTTTGGAAGTAGGAGTGTGAACACAGACAGAGAGAGCGTGTTTTGAGGAAAGAGACTGCATGTGTTTGTGTCTATAAACGGAGATATTGTGGAATCTTGTTTTATTGTTTGTCTGTTCGGCTGCTTGTGCCAATGTTGAGAAAGTGTCTGTGTGCCGAGAAGCTTTTATTTCGTGTTTATGTGTAGTCCGATTGCTGCAGAGGACAGAGATGGGATGAGAGAAGCACGAGGAGCAGCCATGTGCTCTACAGAAGCAGAGAAATGCCTTTGACAAGGATACAGCTGCATCGTAGTATGGCGGTGGCATAACACGATGCTGCGTCTCAGCGCTTTTGAACGACTCAGCAGCTCAACATCCTTCAGGCCAGACAACTACCAGAGTCCTGATGGCATAGCTCAGAGTTGTAGCAGCTATGTGCCATAATCGCACAGCACAGGTAGCTTGCTGACAAAGCAGACAGACGAACGTGTTGGAGCTGTGTTAACAGATTACCTATTTCAGCTGCGCAGCTTGAGATGGCTGCGCACCACTGCAGTAAAACCTTAGGGAACATCGATCTGCCCTTTTGCACAAAGCTCGTTTTACCCAGATGAATGTTCCTGCTGCCTCCGCTGTGTCTTTGGGAGAAAAACGGTGAAATAAATACAGTGCAGTGACAAAACAACAGGTCTGGGTTTGTTAGGTGTATAAGCATCAGGTGTAGACTGAAGAATGGGAGCATGGATTGGAAAGTGAGATGGTAAGCGATGGATGAGGAAGGAGATGCAATCCCAAGATCTGTTAGGTGCCCTTAGGGTTTGGACTTCGATCGTGTCTCAGCCTATACTAATCATAGAAACAGGCAGGGCCAAAGGAGACCGAGAACGTACACAGAACAAGTGCTTATCACTACAAACAGACTGAAATGGTTCTCTAGGTGCACACCTGCATATGTGCAAACACTGCTCCTGGTTCTCCTGATGTAGTTGTTTTAAGAACAGTTGCACAGAGCAGCACAAAGTGGCAAGCAATGATAGTAAAAGGAGCATGCATGTGCACTTGCTATCTAGTGCACCCTATATTGGTTAAAATAAATATCAGTGGCAAAGCAAGTGTAATGGTGTAATCAGTTCCTCATGTTAAATGCTTCTATGAAGTGAGCCGAAAGCCACAGAAATGACAAAAACTGCAGTTTGCGGTGTGGCAATTTGCAGCCATGATAAAATCACCAGTTTAACAGAATTAACATCAGACAGACAGCAGCTGCCTGCTAGGCCTCACCTCCACTGATCTGAATAACTGAATACGACCTCGCTATTGCGTTTGTAGCGTTGGCGCCTTTTGAAGAATTTTTAATGGAACTATCGAGCAAATGTCATGGTCCACTAAGAAGTACAGCTCATCTATGAAGTTTGTGCTTAAATTCTGGTGAAGGAAATTCTTGTAATTTTATTAGTTGCTGTTACATAGTATTCATTAGCAGGTGGCTTTCCATGTACGTATTTGCTGCACCCATATACAGTATGGGTGCAGCAAATATGCAAATATGGTTCCAAAAAATCCAAACAGCACCAGCTAGTCAGACGTAGGCTGTATAGGTGCATACCAAAAACAAAGACACCTCTTATATATGTATGCAAAGATATAATTTGCTAGGCAGTTGCATTGAAAATGCTGCAAAAGGCGCCAGGGTCATAAACTGTTGACACTTCTAGTGACTATGGCTTATCAATACCTGCTGGTGACTTGTACTACAATCTTATTTTGATTTGTTATTTTTTATTTCACTCTTCTATATCTGTGGACAGAAGCACTTACACCTTCTAATGCAGTGGTTTTACAGCAGCAGGCTGGTTTTCATACAGACCATCCAGTCGTCCACTGATGGATTCAGAGTTAATTACAGATCATTTGACTTCTACTGTCACAGTCAACTTTAAATTTAACCTGAATATCTAAAGATGATGCAAAGTATTTCATCAAATTATTTGTTAGCAGTTTCATTATTGTCAGGGCTGCACATTTTCACTCGCATTTAAAGGTGGATTAACCATTAGCTCCATGCTCTAAGCTGATTTCAGTCCACATGTGTCTTTTTAAGCTTTTTTTTGCAGCTAATTTTAATGCAAATGTCCCCTCTTACAACCTTTGTACCACACTTGCTGTACAGGGCTTAAGGAAGACAAACATAAACATCAAAACACCAACATGTGCTGATGCTGTTTCTGCTGCCATGAAACCAGAGCCCCATGTGAGTTAGTGAACATACTCAGTTGTGCGAGTTAGATCTAAACCTACTTCTGCCTGAGTTAGAGCTAAGGCATAATCTACTGACAAAAGAGAAAAAAACTGCCATAAGGAAACGTTCTTATGGATGATGCAGTAGCACCGATATTTACAACCTCACTTCCAAAAAATGTTGGGTACAAAATAAATACAGCGATTTACAATTCTCATAGACTCATATTTTATCTTTGATAGACTATAGAAAACGTACAAAATTTTCAAACTTAAGACATTTTACTATTTAATGAAAAAATATTGAACCCATTTTGAATTTGATGGCAGCAACATGTCTCAAAAATTTTGCAACAGAGGTAACAAAAGACTGAAAAAACAGGTATAAAAAGAGCATTTTAGAGGGGCAGAATTTCTCAGAAGTAAAGATGGGCAGAGGTTCAATCTTCAAAAACACTGATCTACAAATTGTGGAACTTTTTAAAAGTAACATTGCTCAAAGTAAAATTGCCACAACTTTGAACATGTCATCATTTACAGTACACAATATTATTAAAGAGTCTGAGAAACTGAAAAAATCTGAAAGTCAATATTGGGCACTGCATTAAAAATGGACATGAACTCAGGAACACCTCCATAAATCACCTGTGAACACAGCCGTGCATTCCACTAATGCAGGTTTAAACTTGTATCATGCAAATAAGAAGCCATATCTGAACATGATCTAGAAAAACCACTGTCGGCTCTGGGGAAAAACCTCTGTTAAAACTCAGTTTAATACTGCTGTGTGGTCAGGTGAGGCAAAGATTACATTTATTTTCAGACTAAAGAGGAGGAGGACAGTCCAGTTTGCTATCAGCACTCAGTTTAAAAGCCTCTGATTGTAAAGGGGTGCAGTAGTCCTTGTGGAATTGCAAAGGCATCATCAATGCTAAATGCTTTTTTCTTATTCTTAAGATGGTAAATTTTCTCAATTTAAACATTTAATATATTTTCTATGTTCTATTGTGAAAAAATATGAGATATGCAAATCTTTGCATTCTTCTTTTATTGACATGTTATGCGCATTCTAACTTTTGCGAAACTGGAGTTGCACATGGCATTTAGAAGACTACATACAGCTTCATGAGGATGCACCTGTGCACAGTAGTGCTTGGAGCTAACATTACTGTACTGAAATTCTCATAATGCCAGTGCTGACAAACTAACATGATGCAGGTAGTCAATATCATTAACCATCTGGGGAATATAACTGGCAGTATAGCTGTTAACTGACTGTAACTGACATTTCTCCATGGACCTCATTAATGGTCTTATTATTAACTTATTGCCTGAACTCCACAGCCATAAAGCGTAGTGTTGAAAAACCTTAACAGAAGCACTAAATGTACAGTTTGGTCGGACAGGTCTGGAGTAAACACCAGCTGCAGTGTTCTTGGTATTTGTCCCCTCCTTTGAAAGCCAAAGGCTGCGTGTGGTGTAACAATGGATTTAGGAGTCACGTGCAACATGTATCACATGACCGTGGTTATATTTTCCACATTAGGCAAGTGTTAAGTGACTATGCTTAAGTTTTGCAAATAAGCAAAAAGCCCCTTTTCTCCTGCCTGACCATCTCACACACTAACATCATGACTCAGCATATTTTATTAGACAAATAACATACAGTAACATTACTGCACATAATAACCTTGTACAGCATGAGCAACATGATAGGTGTCTTTCAAGCAGAGAGAGACTGTCTACACCAATCTACAGCTTAAGTCAACCATCAAACAGCATAGAAGAGGCAAACCTAACTGTGTGCTCAAGATTGCTTTCTTACCCTTGTGAAGTCGCTTTGTGCGCGAGGGGATCTGCGAGTGTGTGCCTGTTCCACCTGCCTGCTGTCACTGTGGATCTAGGGCATTACCTGGAGTCAGGTGTCAAATGCGGTGAGCACTCGGTTGTGTGCGCATGTACGTCCATGTATGTGGGCGCACGGGAGAATGACTCGGTAAGCATCCCTTGATATTCTCACGCTGATGAGAATATTATTGTCCCTGTGAGGTGACGTCATATGATGAAAACTCATGTCAGTTTTGGCTCATGTGTCACTCAGAGAGTGGAGCACACGCACAGTCTGAAGGGAGGAGGTGTGTCGGTGGGTACAGGGGCAGTGAGAGTGCCTAGCGAAGAGAGATGGGCGTTCTCCTGTGTCTGTTAGTGCTGCTGTGCTGAGGAGGCACAAAGTGACACTTTGTTTTCCCCGCCAGATAGCCAGTGCAGGAGAACAGAGTGGCATTCAGCATTTCAACTGGCTGATGCTCATAAAGACTTTCTTTGTGGGTTAACTGCAATCATGGATGCACATGTGTGATTATAAAGGTCTGTAATGCGCCCCATCACAGCTCCCTAATAGTGTTATGGTCACAAATGTCTGTAATAGACTAGTCTGTGAAGCTCACAGCCTTTAGAGCTATCCAACACACACAAGTCAGCTTGTGGAACTATTTAGTGGCTTTTTTTTTAAAGAAAAAACCCTTTTTAAGAAAAAAAAAAGAACCAAATGCCCCCAAACCCTTTTTTTTACATTTATAATAATGTGACGTGGTACCATAATGGCTGTGAGAATCACCACAGTGTTACTGTGTAATAAGGGCTATTCCCCCCACTCTCCAGTTTTGGCAGGATCACACTGCAGTCTCACAGGGATATGGTAATGATGGGGCTTTACCAACCTGGATGCCGCCTATGTTACAGCAGCACAGCACTTCAAAGACAGACTGTTCTCTGACTGCCTATGTGCATAAATAGAAACCTCCCAGTAAAGCAGCGCAAACATGCTCCAGTACAGATATTCACATCCTCGTGTATTCGCGCACACACGGCGAGCAGAGTGTCTTAACGATTCCACTTTGTGCGAAAAAGGCCAGGATCAAACAGCCTTCTCTATGCTAAGTGATACTGTAGCAGCCACTACACTTGGCATGTGGTAAAGCAGCCATTCAAATTTTTTATGGAAATTGGAAAGCATGGCTGAATATGTTTCTCTGTAGCACGGAAATCTGTATAGATGCAATGTGATGTCATCTTGTGATTTATAAGAAATACACAGAGGGGGAAATGTCCACAAATAAGAACATTTTGAATGGATCTCATTAAATATACAAACCTACACAGATATGTGATCTACAGCCTGCTGCAATCCCTTGTCAGTTTGATATATGCTAACATTTCTGTGGTGACCTAAATATATGACGCATGTCAGGAAAATAAGAATAACAACATAAACACAATAAACACTGTGTGGTCATATTATTTAGGTCAGAGATGTGTTACATAAACATCTCTAAGATCATCCAGGGAGGAA